TATATAACTGTCAGACTGGGGGGATATAACTATATAACGGTCAGACTGGGGGGATGTAACTATATAACTGTCAGACTGGGGGGATGTAACTATATAACTGTCATGCTGGGGGGATATAACTATATAACTGTCAGACTGGGGGGATGTAACTATATAACTGTCAGACTGGAGGGATATAACTATATAACTGTCAGACTGGGGGGATATAACTGTCTGACTGGGGGGATATAACTATATAACTGTCTGACTGGGGGGATTTAACTATATAACTGTCAGACTGGGGGGATGTAACTATATAACTGTCATGCTGGGGGGATATAACTATATAACTGTCAGACTGGGGGGATGTAACTATATAACTGTCATGCTGAGGCGGATATAACTATATAACTGTCTGACTGGGGGGATATAACTATATAACTGTCATGCTGGGGGGATATAACTATATAACTGTCAGACTGGGGGGATGTAACTATATAACTGTCTGACTGGGGGGGATATAACTATATAACTGTCAGACTGGGGGGATGTAACTATATAACTGTCTGACTGGGGGGACGTAACTATATAACTGTCAGACTGGGGGGATGTAACTATATAACTGTCAGACTGGGGGGATATAACTATATAACTGTCAGACTGGGGGGATATAACTATATAACTGTCAGACTGGGGGAGATATAACTATATAACTGTCAGACTGGGGGGATATAACTATATAACTGTCATGCTGGGGGGATATAACTATATAACTGTCAGACTGGGGGGATGTAACTATATAACTGTCTGACTGGGGGGATATAACTGTCAGACTGGGGGGATATAACTATATAACTGTCAGACTGGGGTGGATATAACTATATAACTGTCAGACTGGGGTGGATATAACTATATAACTGTCATGCTGGGGGGATATAACTATATGACTGTCTGACTGGGGGGATATAACTATATGACTGTCAGACTGGGGGGATGTAACTATATAACTGTCAGACTGGGAGGATATAACTATATAACTGTCAGACTGGGGGGATATAACTATATAACTGTCAGACTGGGGGGATATAACTATATAACTGTCAGACTCGGGGGATATAACTATATAACTGTCAGACTGGGGGAGATATAACTATATAACTGTCAGACTGGGGGGATATGACTATATAACTGTCAGACTGGGGGGATATAACTATATAACTGTCAGACTGGGGGGATATAACTGTCAGACTGGGGGGATATAACTATATAACTGTCAGACTGGGGGGATGTAACTATATAACTGTCAGACTGGGGGGATGTAACTATATAACTGTCAGACTGGGGGGATGTAACTATATAACTGTCATGCTGTGGGGATATAACTGTCAGACTTGGGGGATATAACTATATAAGTGTCAGATTAAATATCAGAATTTTTTTTGATTGTGTGCTTTTGTGCACATTTTCTTTGCCCTTCACAGAAAGTGCAAATAGACTTGTTTTCTATGAACCAAAACTGGAGCTATCCTGTGATTGTTATGGGATGTAGCGGAGTTTACTTATAGTGATAGTGATTGGCTGGGACACGTTGCTACCCTCTGCCCACACTGCTGTGATATGAAGGATATGCGTTGTTTGGTCGGGACATTGTGCAACCTTTACGTCTACATTCAGCCTGTTTATGCTCTGTGTAAAATGACATTGATCTGCGTGGAATAAAGCAAAATAATAGTGACAATAAAGTAATGCAGCTGTTAAGGTGGTCACATTAAATATAGTGTGCTGCAGGCTTACTATTTTCTAAATCTAAACACCATAACCACTACAGCTCACTTGTGCTTATAGTGTCAGGTCTGTCCTGCGACCTCCCATTGGCACCCTCTGTCAGTGAACTAGCTCTGTATTGCAGAGCTTAATCTAGGAGAGCTAATGGGAGTTCTTCCAGCATTGGCATTGGAGGGGAAGTCAGATTGTTCAAAAAAGGTTTGACTCCTTAAAACAGCGAGCTGTCGTGATTATGGTGCTTGGGAATATTGCAACAAATCAAATAGCAAAAATTAGAATATCTGTTCTGGGATATTTGGCAGAAAAGGTTATTGTTTCAGTGATACTTTCAGATTGACAAATAATCCGAGATATTAATTACAAAGTAAACACCACTAGAGGGAGTCACCATGACCTTCTGCATTATATCATTATATCCTAAACTTTCTCCAACAGACTATATGAGGTTCTGTGAAGAGCATTAACAGAGTGGTCTTGTTGGGGGACGCCGCCAAACTGAAATATTGAAGTCCCTCAGAGTGCTGGCCATGTAGTTATAAAGTAACTCTATGTACATTGAGCCGGCATTCTGTTTGTGTTCTGTGTGGGTTCTACAGGTATTTGTGTGTATGAGGGCTGTGTTTGGTGTTGTGTTTGTGTGCGGTCTGTTTGCTGTAGTGTTATGTGTGCAATATGCATGTGGGAGTGTTTACAGGAGTGTTGTTGCAGGGCACTTTATATTTCTTTTAAATATGTTTTTAATAAAAGTAGTTTTATTACCCTTCTCTCTTACCTGAAATTTTGCTACGAAGTGGCATAACTCCTTGTTGTTCCCTGTCAGACTGGTTGGAGCTAGCAGTCTGCATTTTTTGTGGGTGCAGACCACTTATCCTTCTCTTTCCAGTCTGGCACTTTTCCAGTTAGAAGTGTTGTAGTGCGAGGGAGAGTTACCTGTGATCTGACTGCACCCAGTAGTAGTGCAGACCAGAGGCTCCCTTGTGCTCTTGGAGGGGCACTCTGGGCCAGCTGGGGAGATGGTCTCCCCAACTGGATCATTTGGGTCTTTAAGCCAGTACCACGTACTTGGTTTGCTGTATGCTGATTGCTGCAATATGCTCTTTATCCACCATTTATAGCCCCCTTCACAAGGTCCAGAAAGAGATGATAGAGGGATTACACCCATTCAGTGTTTAAGCCCACACAGTGTAATATGGCAGAAGCCCACATCTGCTCCTTCACCCACCACATACTGGACGAGAGTAGGGGAGAAAGCTTTGTGTGACATTCAGACCTTTGTAAACTATTTTTTTGTAAACTAGTTCAATTGAGTGAATTTTGAGCTAATCTGTAATTCTTTCTCTGAATTAAAAAAGAGCTGATATGAGAAATTCTCGGCCATGTTATCTTAACGTTTGCAATTCTATTTTCAATTATCTACAAATAATATAATCTGACCGTGGTTCCCAAACTAGTCCTCATGACCCTCCAACAGTCCAGTTTTTATATACGGTAATTCCCTGTTTTATTCCAATGGATATACTGACAAAACCTGAACTGTTGGTGGGCCGTGAGGACTGGTTTGGGAAACACTATAATATGAATTAGCTTAAACACCGTGAATAGCGTACGCTTTCCATTATATACTCACACATGTATAAAACGTAAATAAAAATTTACATTATAAAGAATATAAATATAAAATACTCAAACTAGCTAAACGAGCTAACTGTACTTTTTAGGTTAAATACTTAACATTATTATTATTTTATCTGTTTTATAACTCTGTATTCTACTGGCTTAATTTAAAATAATGAAAACTTATGTATGTTTGTTAATTATAGTAAAATAATTACCGTATATACTCGAGTATAAGTCGAGTTTTTCAGCACATGTTTTGTGCAGAAAACCCCCCACTCAACTTATACTCAAGTTAATGTCTGTATTATGGCAACTTACATTGCCATAATACAGACCAGGATCGCCGGACTCATTACAAGCCCGGTGGTCCTGTTGGGGGCTGGCAGGAAGTGTTTACTAACATTTCCTGCAGCTCCTG